ATATTATTTATTTAATATATTTAATATATTATTTATTTAATATATTTAATATATTATTTATTTAATATATTTAATAATATTATTTATTTAATATATTATTACATGTTTTCAAAAATTAAACTACCAAACGCAGTTTCAGTTTTTTTTTAAACTGAAATCAATCTCTAAATAAAACTACCAAACGCATTTTTAGAAATAATTCCAAAATGAAACTAAAAACGTTTTCATTTTCATTTTTGTACAGAAAATAAAAACGTTTTGGAACCAATTCCAAACGCACCCATAGTTTTTCTTCACTAAAAAAAAAAAAACAAAAAAAATTGCCGGATAAGTAAAAAATTTGCTTACAAGTTATTACTAAAACCTCTTTATTTCAGCGATTCGAGTTTTGCTACAGTAAAAATCTCTCAGAAACAGTTACATCTAACTTTTTTACTACAGTAAAAAAATTTCACATAAAGTCACATCTCAATTCGAATTAAAAACTCAAATCAGCGAACTAAATGGGTCCTAAATTTACTCGAAAAATAAGTTGTGTTTTGGTAGCCCCTTGCCTTTTGCTTTGCGTTTTCATGGAAGTTCTTTGGTCGAAAAACAAAAAGGTTCTCTTCATAAAAAGAGAGACTAAAAAAGGAGAACCAAGCTGGACCCGGTTGATGCAACGTAAGTCCATTGCTGACAGTCTTGTCCTGTAAAATTTCTCCCATAGCTTGTCTTTTTTTTTTTTAACAAGAAATTGAGAACTTCTATTAATCACGAACAATATAAGTACAATGCCACTAATAAAAGAGGTTACATCCAGCCAAAACTTATTAACAAAACTAATAAAAAAAATGACTAGCTAACGTGAGTTACACCATTCCCATAGCTTATTCTTCGTTAATATATGCTTCTTTTTCTGCAAGAATGCGTTTTCAAAAGATGCCGTCGTTTTAACTACATATTATCGTTTCTTCAAGATTTTTATTTTTTACATATTAATTTGACATCGCTTATGTTCTGCAGGAATAAGTGATTTGACCTAGTTTTTTTTTTTTTTTTTTTTTTTTTGGCACAAATGAGTTTATTTCAAGGAAAAAAAAAAAAAAACACAAGTTTTAATACAAATTTAACGGCTAAAAAAATTTTAAAAAAGTTTTTAATATTTCATTTTTTCAATGCATGCCAACAAATTAATTAGTTTCATATACAGTCATTATTCGGAAATTGACATATACTTTTGGATCCGCTTCAACAAGAATTGAATGTTCGCCACTTTTTTTTTTTTCCTGGGTAGTTTTGGTTTCCGTTCACCGATAAAGCAAAAGCGTTGATCAAACAAGAATAAAACTTATACTACATGCATTCATACAATCACGAAAGGTAAAAAAAAATAATTAAAAAAAAAAGATACATCCGTATATAATTTTAAAGTACATAAGCATTTCATAACGATGAATAATGTCACCTGGTAAACGATGACACTCTCTTTTACCAATTCTATATCAAGTGCATAAAATCCAAGGACGAAAACCCCTTTTTCCTCGCAAGGACGCCAATGAATAATAAATCGTGCCTCCATGATCTAGTAGTCATTTTCCAGATACCTATTGCAGATCAGATCTATTTAGCCCAAGCAACTGAATCAATCTCCACTTGAGCACTCCTGTATAGTTCCAGCCTCTTTGCCAGGGCGGTACGTCGCTCCATGACCGCCGGATCCTCATTCAACAACGAGGACAACCGCTTTTGCTGCACAGAATTTCAAATTGAACACATTTCAAATTTCACTCTCCACATGACGTACAATGATACAAATTTAGCAGAAACACATATTACAAAGATGGGGGAGGAGGCGTTTCGAGCTTTACCTCCATTTTACCCAAATCGGTGAAGAAATGGTCAAGTAAGCTTCGTTTTGCCTCTCGGACTTGACAATAGACGACAGACTTGGGAATGGAGTTTCGGAGGCTTGCACAAACCATATTGACATAAGACAAAACATTTGTTCCTGTTTGTGTAAAGCAAAAATTATAATTAGGCTTTACAAAGTATATAATATACATACATACATATATATATACATACATATATATATATATTAGTGATCCGCAAGGAAATAGAAGTCTTGTTTGAGCAAAATTTCATTTCAAAATTAAACTTACCAATTCGCCTGAGGTACGAGTCGTTGTATCTATCAAAAATTGAATGTGATGGGTTGCCACCCTTTTCAACATCTTGAGGAAGCTTGCGGAAGAAGTCAACAGTAAGGTAACTACACTCCATGTCAACGAGCTTAAGAGTTGCTTTCTTGCTTTCTTCCTTCATTCTGTCAAGCGACTCGATAGCCGCATTTGCCACCTCCACTCTAAGACCGGGATACTGCTTCAACTCCTGTGATACCAAAGCAACATTCATTACACCAATTGCAAAATTTTTAACCCCGCACAAGGAAGGATTACTGGAAGTGGGATGAAGCAGCATAAATTTCAAAAATTCGCTAACTAAAAAGCCAGCGGATACTGGGAACAGAAAGCGAGTAAAACTTATGACTCATGTAATGCATTTCCAAATTGTTTCAAGTGTATATATGCCTCTTCCTTTCTTCTGCATATATGTGACAGCCAATGCGAGAGAATGCAGCTGGAAGTAAGCATGCATCTGAAACATGTGAAGAAGGTGCTCGTGCTACAACAAGTCTAATAGCTGAACCCATTTACTTTTATCTACGAACGTAATAAACATATTGGATAGATACAGCTATTATCATCTGCATATGGTGCCACCTGATCCAATAAGCTGCTAACAGAAAGCCAAGTACATACAAATGGACGCAATAAGATTTGAGTCACGTCAATGTCGCACACATACCACAGTCTCATTGATAGCCTTGTGAACTAGATCCTTCAATATGGCATGGGCCTGGAATCATGAAATAACAAAAAACAGATTTTCAGTAACTTCAAAATAGACAAAGGCTTAAAACCAGTGTATAAAGAAAGTTCGGCTACATTTTTGCATAAAGAATTTCATGACAATTTTCATTATATACCAATCCACCAACTTTTTGCCAGCGCGCAAGGTCCAAATTTTCCTTTATCCTACACCTATTATTTTCTATCCATGTTGTAACGTTCAACCAGAAGTCCATGTTAAACCATCCACAAATGAAAAATTAAGGGATTAGTCAAATCTTATGTGTTTTGATACCATGGGACACATAATGTTCAATCCACCTAGTCTAATAAATATAGGGTTGCATCTAAACATTAATTAATTGAGTCCATTAACTATATCAGATGAAAACAGGTTTTGCATCCATGATTGATCTCTAGAAAGAAGTTCTTTGACTTCATGCATACCGCATCAACAGCTGCCTCAGCAGGACCTCTAATAGTAACTAATGTAGATTCAATAAGTCTACGGTATCCTTGCTCAGGAGCTATCAAATGAGGTTGATATCCATCAGCTTCGGTAATGAGCTTCCGTATATTTTCCATTGAGAGTTGCTTGTCAAATTGCAGTCTTTTTAGAGCAGCAGGAAGCTGGTTATCAAATACATTGTAGATTTTATCACCCCCAGGACGCCTGTGGACAGAAAGGAAGATAAGAACAACTGGGAAGTTTTAAACCTATAAGAAAAGAACTCTTTTTTTATTTTTATTTTTTATGATTGCATATGACTCATAATTGAAGCAAGCTATTGAGGGACAAAAAACCATAATTAGGATGATGAATGAACTGTGACACGTACACGCCATCAAGATGCTCTTTGTATATTGAATCAAAGATTCGACAGATCTCCATGATAGAATATAGCTTTCCCTGCACATAAAAGCAATCAATTTCTGCCAGTTCTTGATGGTTACCTCTCATTGACTAACCCATGAATAAAACAACTCTAAAAGTTTCTATGTTTTGAATGTGATGCATCTTAGACAACAAGAAAAGGGCAGAATAAATGACACTTACTCCAGCATCAGCAGCAATAGGCTTGCCCAGACGAGATAGTTCAGTTTCAAGTTCAGATATCGTCTTGCTAATAAGGGACTGAATACCCGGAATTTTGGACTTGATTACATTTTCCAAATGCTGGAAAATTAACCATTAAAACAGTTAATATAGCAAAATAACTCTTTATTTACATAAATAAAATAGCAGAATAACTATAACCCTGATTTTCAATCCAAAATAAATAAAATCATAAGATGATGACCCCATTCCTACCTTAGAAAGCATTTTTGCTAAATGCTCAGACCCCATTCGGTGAGCAAGGTGTTTGTATTCTGGTGTATTAGCAAAATACTCGCGCTCTCTGCGCCGAGCAGCAATCATGTCAACATTCTTGTTAATATCTTGTTGTGAGCGATTGACCACTCCAACCCAAGGGAATTTGAGCCTATAGGACTTTCCTTCCAAAATCTAAGCAAAGACAAGTAGGTAAAGGAGAGTCACAATGTAGACATGAAACACATAAAGGCAGGCTTTTAACTTAATCTAATAATTTTGCAACATATAGATCACCGTATTCCTGAATGCTTATTCAAAGATATAAAATTTGCTACAAAACTATTACTTGCATGGGAAAACACACTCCTTCCCTTTACCACGGCAGAAAACTAAATAGGAAACCTTGTAAAAGAGGCAGGAAGATGAAGAACTAGAGATCCTTAATATAAATTAGGTCCGAGTACGCGTTCTAATAGATTGTTGCCTCAGAGAGCTAATTTAAGCAAAGAGAAAAAATTGCAAAATTCATAGTTATAGCACCTCAATGCAAGCTCAGAAGAAGAAGAAAAAAGCAAGCAAGCAGTAATGAGTTAATGAAATATCATTTTAGGTGCATCGAAACGGAATGTTATTTTCCCATTATCATTTTTGAACCTGTTACATAGACTAACTCTCTCTAATTTGTCACCAAAACAAGAAACTAAGAGAACTTACTTCAACTGCATCAGTACCCTTATCCATAAGATCAATCTTTGTCAATACACCTAACGTCCTCTCCCCTGAAAGTGTAAAAGGGAACATGATCATTTCTACATTTTTAGTGTAAAAGGGAACATGATCATTTCTACATTGGAAAAACGGGAAGAGGCATGATATGATACTTCCAATAGCAATATTAGATTACCTGTAGGATCTACTTCACGAGAAATTTTAATTGCATCAGACGTGGCAAGATCTTGATTGGCAGGTGAAATTGCCAGAATAATGCAGTTCGGCTACCAAAATAATGAAACAAAGTAAGAAATTTCATCCTTGCAACATCCATTGAAAAATACACAACAAAAATTAAAAGAAAAAAAAAAGAACAGTTGAGAAACTACTTTAAAAACCACAAAATTTAATCATACGTCACAATATGACTGAGGTTTTGCTAAGAATTGGATAATAGAAAATAGAAGATAAGAAAAAAAGAAAATAATTCACCTAAAATGGTACAAGACATCAGCAAATAATTTACAAGTGTCTAACATGATATTACCTTCTCAATATAGGAACGAACCATATTTTCAATGTCTTGCACAATACTGTCTGGTTGACCCTCTGCATCGTTGAAAATAGTACAATTATGTAAAAATATAAATAAATAGCAATTAGCATTATTTGTGCCAAACGGATTACAAAAGAAAATATGCATGAGCATGACTTGCAACTGTTGTCAGACTTACCAACTGCCACTTTTGTAAGCCCGGGAAGATCAATAAGGGTCAAGTTGACAACTGCCATCATCAAGCAACAGTAGAATGTGTCAAATTGAAATTAAGAATAAAACTGCACTTCTATGCTAGTGTACTGCCCTAAAATGAATACAAATTCAACCTTCATCTTACCGTTGGGAGAATAGATGCTAAGATGAATTGGAACACTAGAGATTTGTTTGCTGCGGCCTGTTTCTCTGTCCGTTTCATCTTGAATCTCCTTCCTCACAGCAGCTTCACAGATATAATCAACATTGGCATGTAAAATGAATATAACTCATTAACTACATACATTTAGCTCTCAAAGGAGTGGTGCCTCCAAACACCCAGAAAGGGGGAAAAAAAATACACACACACACATATTTAATAGGTCGTTAATTCTATGTTCAGAAGTATGTAATAAGTTAAAACAAAGAGCAAACATAGAAGCTTGAGTAAAACTTTATTCACAAGTAGCAAGATGGAATTGATTCAATCACATTCCAACAGAAGTCCAAAAAGGGAAGTTCATAATAAAGTAATTACCAAAATCAGTAAATCTTTTTCTTGGGAGATGGAGAAACTCCGCATATTCTCTGCTGCCTTCAGAAATCTTATGAAGTTGCAACACAAGAGGACGCCGTGTAACAATTCCTGCACATATTTTGCACGCATCAGTCCCACAATCTTCTATATAATTGAATCTCATTGCCACACTAAATCTAATAATATCAATGCGTAACTTACCAGACCCACGAGGTAAAAAGTCCTTGCCGACAACACTCTCCAACACAGAGGATTTTCCTGAACTCTGTGGAACACCATACGATTGTGAGGAAGCAATTAATATTGATATACAAATTATTAACATGATTAATTTATAGCAGATCAACAATATATTGATATTTAACATAACATCAACGTACTAATATAAATCAAACATACAAAAAATTGCCTAAAATGCAAAATATACAAGTATCAACTAAGAATTAAATAATATCTATATATAATCCGACCAAGTTCTGATCACGGAAAGTCTGTTTCTCCGTGTAAGAAATGGAGCCTGTACATATGCAAATCGATTCCACCGCATATCACAAACGGAAATCGCATTTCACAGAGAAGAAATTTCAAGCAAAATCACGCGGAAACCAACGCGATTACAGAAAAATTAACTCAATCTGAGCTTTAAGAAAAGAGAGTCGAGTCGGTGTGGGGGGATCGGGAAGCTGACCTGGCCACCAACGACGGCGATCGCCGGGAGAGAGTCCCAGAGAGTGGGCAACGCGCTGGCTTCGCCGTGGTCGCCGAGAGCCGTGCAAGCCCTCTGGATTTTGTTCACCAGAGAGATTAGATTCTCCATCTCTCACTGATCGCTACCGAGATCGGAACGGAACGGCGGCGACCGTGTCGACGGGCTCAGATCACCTGGATCTGAGAACGGCGGAGTAGAGAGAGAGAGAGATTTGCGGTGGAGACAGAGAGAGAGAGCTTGTCTCTGAAGAGAAGGAAGTAAATGGAGACGATGTGGAGAGACGTGAAAATGGGTTTAAAGCGTCTTCTGTTTTTGAAAAATGAGACGAGATTTGAGTTTATAAATAAAATATGATATGATACAGTGAAAATAAAATAAAAAATAATATAGGTTGATTTTCCTAAAAAGTAATACAAAGGTAATCATATTAGTATACTTTTTAGCTTTAAATTTTTACTCAATTTATTTGTCCTTTTCTAAAATTTTTTAAAAAATTAGATTTTCATAATAAAAAAAATTATAATAAATAACAGGTTTTTAAAACTAAATTAAATAAATAACACATTTTAAAATTATTTAAAATAACAGTTTATTATATAAATGTGTCATTTAAGGTTAAAAAATATTTTTAATTAATTTTTTTTAAGAATGATAAAAAGATTTTTTATCAAGTAAATTATTTTTAATCAATCGTAAATGAAACATTTTTATAGCTTTAAAAATAAATATATAAATTTAAGAAAATAATAATGATATAAATTGAGAAAAATAAAATAAGGTGCTAATGGAATTGGACAGAGAGCGTGTTGTGGGCTTTGGGTATGTAACTATTGACTTAGGAAAACAAAACACCGTCGAAATATGACCGTACGTCAATTTTGCTTTGAGGAACTCGCTCGCTAGATCTGCGTTGCCGCGTCGTTTTCCAACAATTTAGGCCGTGTTTTCCCTATTTATTTATCTTTTTATCTTTTATTATTTTTCTATAAAAATGGAAGGTTGTGGTTGTCCATTTAGCAAGAAATAATAATTTAAAAACGAACAAAGAGTATGTTTGAGTTAAAGTTCTCCATTTTTTTTAAAAAAAATTTATATGATTAGAGATTTATGATTAATATTATAAATATCCTAACTGATGTATTGTGCTTGTTTTTTTATGTACGGCGGATTATTTCAAGAAAAATTACTACGCATTCTTTAATCACTACAAAGGGTCGCGATCCGTGCAATTAGATATATAATTGAATGCGAAAAAAATTAATGGTTTGTAATCTTTAATTAACAGAAGAAAATTATTTTACAAGAAGCTTTTATTGGTAGGTCTTTTATAATTATATAAGAATAGGGAGATAGATAAGAGTGAATAAAATACTTGATAAATAATCTTATACACTATTTATATAAGAGTGTAACTTAAGAATCTGTTTGTTTCATATATTCAAATTCAAATTATTAATTTTATTACAGTATTTTCTTTTAAAAAATCTTAAATTTTAAACGACAGAATTAAAAATTATAATTTAAATAAACTTTCTAAATGCACCCTAATATACTATATTACTACAATTTTCTTTGCCAAAGAGGCATAAATTCCATATGAATTCCACATAAAGTTTCCGCTTCATCCAACGGTTGGATGGTGAGTCACCAACAAAATTCCAAACAAGTTCACACCTTTTAAATAAACAAAGGCCCACCATCTGTTAGAAAAGTCATATATTGCAATCATAGGTTCAAACTTTTATACGGCCAAAACAAAGTTCAAATTTCATATCTAACGGCACAAAACGGCATCAAATCAGGAAATGCCTTCGACCAAACACTATTGAACGGGGCTTTACAAAAAGCCTTCCTTCCACCGACTTTTTGAAATTTCTCCGACCAAGAGGAAAAAAGAAAAAAAAAAAAAAAGAGATTTTCTAACACATTTAGCGTAATTTTTTTAACTGATAAATTTACATATTTTTTTTTATTTTTACGTAATTTTATATAGATCTAACAGATAAAAAATTTAATCTACTAGTACATTAAAAATAAAAAAAAACTCAAAACTAATGTATATCATTCCGGCTCAGCTCAACTAGCATAGTAGATTGATTAACATGAAATTCAATTTAACGTGTGTTGTTAAATTTTTCTATCTAGTGTTGAGTATTTTATTAAGAAAACTTCTCTTAAGTTTGAAAATAAAGTTCAAATGATTAGCCTTATTAATGATGGATGTGAATGAGGCTCAATACATTTATGAAGTCTAGTTATTCCAACGAAGGGTTACAGAAATGTTCCAAATTCATGCCACGGATTGAATTAGGCTAATTGTTTTCATGGAAGTGATATTTCGAATGCAAACTCTCTTAGAAGGCAGAAACCATGTTCTTCTAACTCACATTTTTGGGACTATGGACCGTACGGTAAAAATACCAAGTTCGGTAAGTTGTAGTGTATTTTTTTTCTTTTTACATGATTTTGGAAATTATTGGGGAAATTTTGGAAAAATATTTTTAAAAAATTTTGAAACAAAAATTTTAAAAAATGCGAAGTTCTGAATTTTTATTTTAATTATTTCATTTCGTCAATATTATATGTTAAATATAGATATATATCATATAGCACGTAATCAACATGTTATGTTATAAAGATTGCTTAAATCACGTCGAAGTTCCCAATTATATTTGAACTTTATACGACTTTCTTTTAATATTGAGACTAATGTCATATGAATAAAGTTTATATGTAAAACTCATTGTATTTTTTTTTCAATATCTACATATCCTAAATATTAAAAGAATATTACATTTTCAAAATAAACTATAATTTTCATAAATCTGTCCCGATATTTTCACATATTTTCTCATGTCTTTATAGTGTACTAATATTTTCATTGATATCGACATTAAAGTTAAGTTTGATGAGAATGCGACCTTGTCACTCATACCATTTGAAAAAAAGAGACAAACACTATTTAGGATGTGTTCACTTCACTAATCGAAGTTTTACAATTTGAGTTGAGTTATGGTTTAGAATTACAATCTAGTTTGGAATTGTAACTGGAATTGGAGTTAGTGTTTTAGGAGTCCATATGAGCTACAAATTTGGTGAAGGAAAAAAATAACTTACGTTATTCAAATTGAAGAAAATTCCACGTTTCTAATTTTTTTAAAATGTCATATTCATAGGTTAATATATGTAACCAATTAATGGAGGAAATTACCTGTCACAACCAAATAAAAAATTGTGAAAATAGTAAAAAAAAATTGTGAAAATAGACATTGCCTCAAATGGCTCGATTTACACATTGAAAAACATGTCTAACTATGGATTGTTGTTTCCTCGTTGGGTTTGCCACATGGACCTTGTCATTTCATCCCTTAGGAGACTCATCTGTCTAGGATTCGTTGTGTTTCTTGGTCCTTCTGTTGCCTGATCTGGGTTGTGATTTTGATTTATATCTTCATCTGTGTTTTGAGGGTCAATTTCACTTACCGGGACCCCATCTTGAAAGTATTGGGTCATAAATCTATCATCATGTTGATACATGCGTATGAACTTATGTATGACCGCACATGCAATAGGTATTTTCACATGTTTTCTCATTGGGTAATTGTTAATTATCTTTAGAATCCAGAACATTGCTTTCCGCACCCCGAATGTGCGCTCGATACAATTCTGGAGCGATGAGTGCATGTAGTTGAACAACTCCCGCTCACTTCGAGGTCATCCACGGCATGCCCTATATTCTTGCAAGTGGTATGTACTACCACGATATGGTGCTAGGAAATAACTTATGTTTGCGTAACTTGAGTCTACTAAATAAAATTTGCCTACAGAATCATCCAAAAAGACAAGTAAATTCCTATTTGTACAGAGGTAACAACCACAAACATACGACCTTTTAGCACTTAGAAATGTAGAAATGATGTTTACCTTCAGGAGGGATTGGAAATTTTTTCTCTGACCCATCAAGGGGGGATTCAAGTACGCGGGCGTCATGTGCAGAGCCCTCCCACCCGACAAGCATGTATGTAAACTTCACGTCAAAAGAACACACACCCAAAACATTTTGAGACATAAATCTCTTCCTATTTCTTCATACCTCGGCATTCTTGGGCAGCGGAACACAAGGAACGCGTGTCCTATCGAGTGCACCAACACAATTCTGCGAAGTAAAACTAGATTACTACGACACATAAAACAAAGCTTTGTAAAATAACCTTAACATAATCAAGTAGCGATAAAGTGTCTAGACTTACATCAAACCATGGTCTGTACTTGCTCCCACTTGCTTCAATGAATAGATCGATAGAGTTAAAGTTTGGGAGCGTAATGAAATCATGCCGTAGACGATATATGGCATTCAGGACAATTGTGAAATACTTTGAGATTGTGGCTTCCGAATGCTGCCATTGATGTTGCATCTCCCTATTACTTTGGCTTTAACATACAATTTTAGGAATATAATCAGTTGCTCATCAACGCTCATATTTCTAGTGCTCTTCAATAAATTCTTTTGTTCGAGTAACCAACTCAACCTCTTAAAGCAATCAGTTCCCATCCTTATCTTATTATAGATCATGAGTTCGTGTCCATCTAACAAATCACCAAGACGCTGATGACCTGTATAATGGCTATTATTTCTTGGAGTTGGAAGTGGTTTTTCCAAATAATCGGCGCAACATAACAGCACTGCAGCCGCACCAAGTGTGTAGTCATCTTCAGAGTCATAATCACCACTCATATCTGGGTTGTTTCCTATATTTGATGGGCCACCACTCCACATGCTCCCTGTAAGTGGTATATGATCTACAATACCAATATGCAACAAATAATGTAACAACTATGGAGTAAATAACAATCTAGCAAGTCTTAGACGGCAATACATGTTTCATAGTGTGAAAATAAATATCATTAACAACAAGATTCATGCTACACGACAAATGGAAGGTGGATAAGGCCCGTAGGGGCGAATTCTAACTTGTTCGAGCATACATCAAAGTACTCTAAACTCACAACATAACATAGTACATAAGCCGCTAGTAAACAAATAAATGATAGTTCATGAAAAAAAAAATAACCTCCCTACCTTAAACGTAATACCTACAAATTACTCAACATAAGTACCGAAGAAGTCTTCTGTGGTTATACATGATCCTCATTCCCTTCTTCACCAAATGGTCCTAGAAAGTTTGAGTATTGATTACCCATGTAGTGTTGTGGTAAGTGTTGAAAATTAGGAGGGCCTTGAAGGAATTTAGGAGGGCCTTATTGAAAACTTTGGGGGGTTTGCGGAAAGTTGGGT